AGGTTTGCAAAAACAGAGGTGGGCTGAGTGACTTGCGGTGAGAGGAGGTCTCATGTCACTGCCCTGATGGGGAATGAAGACATAGAACCTGGGAGCTGAGCACTAACCACTTTAAAATTTTAGAGATTAAAAGGGAAAATGAGGGGCTGGGGTGGTGGGTCACCGGTAGCCCACTTGCCTAGCATGTGCGAGGCCCTGGGTTCGATCCTTAGCACCACATAAAAATAAATAAATGAAATAGAGCTGGGGATGTGGCTCAAGCCGTAGCGCGCTTGCCTGGCATGCACGGGGCGCTGGGTTCAATCCTCAGCACCACATAAAAAAAATAAAATAAAGTTGTGTCCACCGAAAACTAAAAAATAAATATTAAAAAAAAAATTCTTTCTCTCTAAAATAAATAAATAAATAAAGGTATTGTGTCCGACTGCAATCGAAAAAATAAATATTTTTAGAAAGGGGAAAATGAAAAGGTAAAATCAAAGCAGGGATTGTCTGATAAGCCAAAAGGCACCATGTTCATCCTGTCAGTTCCTCCTGGCACGAGATGCTCCTGTAGTGTGTTACATCCTTGCTCTGAATGGTGGAATGGGGGCAAACATACCACCTACAACTCATCCTCTTGGAGGAACACAAAAAAGGTAGTGACTGTATACAGTATTGACCAGTGGACATGTGAATGGAAAGGATTAAGGGGAAATGACATTGTTCTGTGCCACAGACAGGAGCTCCTCCAAGTGTAAACACAGGAGACTAGACTGGGGGAAACATGAGCCCAGAATTGCACATTGTCATGGCTGACATTTATTGAGCACTGTGCCAGCTCCTGTGGGTAAGCACTTCACATATGTCACCTCCCTTGCTCCACAAGAGAGCCTGGGAGTTAAAGGAGTTATTATCCTTGTTTTATACATAAGGAAACAGTGACTTACAGAGGCTTTTGATCTGCTCAGATACCCAAGTAGCAGGAAAGAGTGAGGATTCACACCGGGGCAGTGCAACTTAGAAGCCCACACAGTTCATCCCAGCCTTGGGTACTGTCCATTTATCTTCCATTAGAGCATTATCTTGTTACACAGTTTTTCACCTAAAGAGGACATCCTGCAGTCAGTCACCCACGGAAGAGGTAGGGAGTTGGGGGAAGGGGGCTTATAGAAACAGACTTGGAAGTTGATTCAGGTGAGCAGAAGAGACTTTGCATCTTTTGGTCTATATCCCTTTCTGAATGTACATCTTGAGACTTGTCTAGAAGGGATACTCTTGAGTGCTAGAAGCTAATAACAATGAATGGCCTCTCCATGAAGGGCAGAATGGAGGTTAAGAAGGAGAGAATAGCAGTAAATAGAAGCTAATAATGAGGAAGATATTTCTAGTAAGCCAGATGATGTAGATCAGGAGTCCTCTTCTTACTTCTCTGTTGTTTTCCTTTCTGTTTAATGAGATTAACTCTTAGACTGCCTTAGCATGTACAGTGACAGTGGCAGTTTTGTACTGCTTGTAACTGTCCTCCGTTGTTGCCTTTGGTGGTCTTAGCCATCCAGTTCACACCTTTCCTCTCCTAAGCTTCAGCATAGCCTCAACATCCATCTTACCCATGACCCGTGTTAAGGATGCAAAACTAAGGATGGGCCTTTCTCCTGACCCCCAATATAGCCAACATCGTCGCTAGGAAACAGGGATTTTCCTTTTGATTCTAGCCTTCAAAAGGGTTTATTTTATTCAGGAAAACATTGTTTCTTTTGGTGCTTTGACAGTAATGCCAAAGAAGCAACTGTCACCAGCTTCCATGGCTGCCCACCTGGCAATGCCCCCATCTCCCAGTAGTCCACAGTGCAGTGCAGATCTCAGGAATGCCTGAATGAAGGGTGGGACTTCGCAGGCGTGCAGTGCAGCAGGGAAGATGGTGTTCCCTACCAGAGAGGCACATGGATACCCAGTTAGTTCTCTTCACAGTAACGTGACTGATACACACATCAGGCAGGGAACAAGAACTGTATGGGGTAGAAAATGTATTTTAGGAATTATACCTTTTTTACAATCTTGGGTAAAGATGAGGAAATGAGTCCAAAGGGGAGAGTTGAAGGTTCAGGGAAAAACTTCACTGATCAGCTCTTCTGAAATAATGGCATGAATAGAGATGTCCAAGCTTGCAGGGAGGTCCAGAGGGTAGGAACATCCGGATGCTGGATTAGGATCATGAAAGTAATGGAGTGAGGAGGGACAGGTATCATTGTATAAAACCAAGTGGGATGGCATCAAATTGAAAAGCTTCTGCAGAGAAAAGGAAACAATTAAGACCATGAAGAGAGAGCCTAAAGAATGAGAGAAAAATCTTTACCTGCTTCTTTTCCAACAGGGGATTAATAACCAGAATACATAAAGAACACAAAAAAACTTAACAGTCCACTTAGTAAATGGGCAAAAGATCTAAAGAGCCATTTCTCAAAAGAAAAAATACAAATAACCAGCAAATATATGAAAAAATAAATGTTCAACATTCTTAGCAATCAAAGATAGAAATTAAAAATACACTGAGATTTCATTTCACCCCACTTAGAATGACAATCCTCAAGAATACAAATAATGGTAATTGCTGGTGAGGATGTGGTGGCGGAGCTACGTTCAAACATTGTTGAATTACAAATTAGTACAACCACTCTGGAAATCAGTATGGGGATTCCTCAAAAAATCTAAAATCAGTGCTGGGATTGTGGCTCAGTGGTAGAGCGCTTGCCTAGCATGTGAGGCACTGGGTTAGATTTCTCAGCATCGCATATAAATAAATAAAATAAAGGTCCATTGACAAGTAAAAAATATTTTTTAAAAAAGATCTAAAATCAGCATATTATGGAAATACATCATATTAATGTTTATAGCAGCAAAAACCACAATTGCCAAGTTATAGAACCGGCCTAGGTGCCCATCAATAGACTAATGGATAAAGAAAATGTGTGTGTGTGTGTGTGTGTGTGTGTGTGTGTGTGTGTGTGTGTAAATAGGATGAAGTTCTACTCAGCCATTAAGAAGACTGAAATTATGTCATTTGCTGGTAAATAGATGGAACTAGAGAATATCGTCCTAAGTGAAATAAGCCAGACTCAGAAAATCAAGGGTCAAATGTTTTGTCTCATGTGCAGAAGCTAAAGAGAAGAAAGGAATAAACAAGGGGATCTCACAAAAATAGAAGGGAGACTTAGAGTAGAAGTGAAGGACCAAGCAGGAGGGTGGAGAGAAGGGGAGGAAAAAGAACTAGAGAATGAAATTGAGAAAATATGCTGTGTGCATATATGAATATGTCACAGTGCATTCCAACTACATCCATAACTACAGTGCACTGATAAAAAATAAATGAATAAAAGACCCACAGAGTAGAAGAAGGGAATCAGAGAGAGAGGAAGGAAGGAAAGAAGGAGTACTTGGGATTGAAATGTTACGTACAATTATGAATACATCAAAGTGAACCCCACCATTCTGTGTAACTACAATGCACTAATAAGCTTTTTGTTAAGGTCAGTGAAAGGCCATTGCCTCTGCAGAGCTGCTCCTGTAAATTTGCTGCCCAGTGTGTGGACTGGTGGGCATGGGGTCAGTGGTCAGCAGGACTAGTAGTCCCAACAACAAATGGGACCTAGAAGCATTTCCACATTCTAATTGTCACCAATTCTAATCACAGCTTGAAGAAATTTGGAGCATCTACCTTCCAGATCTCACACAAACTTCTCTTTGGGCCCCTTCACTCACAGTCTTACAGGGAAATGGGTTTCATCCTGGTTTAGCCAGGTTGACATAGGATAAGCCACAGTGCCTCTAAACTTTGTGAACTGAATGTAGTTCACTTTTAGAAGCAGTGTTCACTTGAATAGGAGGAAAGCAGAGCTAAGAAACAGTATGACTATATTTTTTTAAAAAAACATTCTTAGATATTGCCTAGTAATGTGCATTAATAGTGCACATTTCAAAAACAAACTGTTGCCAGGCGTGGTGGCACACGCCTCTAATTCCAGCAGCTCAGGAGGCTAAAGCAGGAGAATGGCAAGTTCAAGGACAGCCTCAGCAACTTAGTGAGGCTGTAAACAACCTACTGAAACCATGTCTCAAAATAAAATATAAAAAGGGCTGGGGATATGACTTGATTTCAGTCCCTAATACAAAAAAAAAAAAAAGTTGATGTAAATGCTAAAGATTACAATAGAAAAATTTTTAAGTGATTATATAAACATTTCTTTGTCTTTAGTCAGCTTAGAATTGAGATAGTTTTAAAAACAGTCTTCTGGAGATGGGGCTCAGTGGTAGAGCACTCGCCTAGCATGCGTGAGGCACTGGGTCAATCATCAGCACCACATAAAAATAAAATAAATGTATTGTGTCCACTACAACTAAAAAATAAATGTTAAAAACAATTGTCTCTTGAGGTCTTCTGAGAAAACAACTAAGGAGGAAAACGGAAAGAGTGTTTATTAGGCACTGTGCCAAAAATGTGTGTCCTATTTCATTTAATTCATAAACCAAACCTATGAGGCTCCTAAAAGTGAAGCAATTCAAGATCTAGTTCATATATGTATGTTGGAAGTTTACCCAGAATTTAGAGTAATTTACATCTTAATCAGATTATCTTTTTCTCTTAGTGGATTATTTTATCCTACTTTTTAAAAACTTTTTATTGAAAGAATAACATCTATATTAAAGTACAAAAGTGAATTAATCTGAAGAGTATAACAATTAACTTTTATGTATCTCTGTATATTTCAATGTAATCACCATCCAGATACAAACACCAGACTTTCCCATGCCCTGATGGATTACCCCTGGGCCCTTTGTCCTTCCCAGGTAAATGGCCTTAAGCATTTGTAGTTTTCACTTCTGTGGAGGGCTCCGTTTTTGGAGCAGTGCTGGAGGAAAGGGAACATTCACAGTGAGGTGAAATGTTAAGCATTGTGCCCTGTGGCTGCTTTAAATTATCTCTACTTATGGCACTTTCTCTTTCTGCTTTTACCCTAAAACAGGTAATCAGATCCTGTCTCTTGGGAGCCTCTCAAAAGATCAGATTTATCCAATGAAACTCAAGGGCATCTCCATCTGCTATTCAGCTCTCAAATCTGCCTTATGTGGAAATTATGTCAGCTTTGGCGTCTTCAAGTTGTATGGGGACAACCATTTTGACAATGTACTCCAGGCCTTTGTCAAAATGCTACTGTCGGTGTCCCACAGCGACTTGCTAGTAAGCAATCATGTAATGTGGGCGTCTTTGTGAAGCGAGCAGCAACAACCACAAGCCCCCAACTGTAGGACGAGGGCTGGGGAGCGAGAGCAATCCCAGAGCAGTTTCCCCTCTGGGACAGCGAGTTTGGTCTCACTCACTGCTAAATGCGCTATCTAGTGACACCCCTGCTGACTGTGCTTATAGAATCAACTGCAGGTTCGAAGGGGTACCTGCCACCCTCTTCCAGGTGGGTCGTCCAGAGTGCTCCAGATTGTGCCATGGCAAAATGTAATGAGCACTTTCAGTTGATTGCTTATGGCCAGACTCATAATTCCAAAACACCTATTTCCTGCAGTAGAAACAGGGTTGCCGAGAGGTCTTCCAGTCCTTCTGTTCGGCTCCTCTGACTTGCCCTGTGGTTTGGCTTTCTTTACCAATAAAATTCTGGTGAACTGGACAGAGTGCAGAACCACAGGTGGAGCAGCCCTACATATGTGGAGACCTGCACGCACTAATTACCTACCTTGAACGGCTCTTCTCTCTTTTCTCCAAAATGAGTGGATTGACTGGGTGAGCTCCAGGGCCCTTCTCTGCTTGGCCACCTAGTTTCTCTAATGTGTGTCAGTGGTCTCCAAACTCTGAATCCATCAGAACACCTGCAGGGTGCTTGTTGGTAATTCGATTTCCTGTTTCCTTCACTGGGCTCTCATTATCAGGCTTTTTTTAAACATCTGTCAGATTACCCAGAAACCACTGAATGCCCAGTGTGGTGTCAGTGATTTCTTGGGTAACGCAGACAAGTAATTCATCCTTAGAATGGTTCAGGCCTTCCCAGCTGGTCACACACACCGCAGCCCCAGGGTTACAAGGATGATCTGAGGACCTGTGCGGGGCAGCCTTCATGAGAAACACTCCTGGACTCAGGGTGTCCCCACCATCCTAGGCTGGCCTCTTTGGGGATATGTCTCAAGCTGAAGTCACCAGGCATCCTCCCAGTGACACAGAATGCTCACTGAGGCTGTGCCTGGAGGACAGACATTACAAAGGAGACACTTGGATCAAATCGGCCATATGTTACATTCACTTCCTTGAGGGGACTCTTCACTACAGCTGAGGTCCCCCAAGAAATATGGTGTCACTCTAGAAATTTTTCTCTTGCCCCACCCTTTTTTTTAAACAGTCAAGCAAACCTCCAGTTCAATAATTTTCAAACTTGAGAGTACGTAAGACTCTTATCTCATATGTATGTTAAAAACACACATTGCGGGCCCCACCTCAGAGCCTTCCACTTAGTCTAGAGCGGGATCAGAACGAGCACCCCGAGTGATTCTTACAGAGGTAGCTACCTTCGTCTCACTTTAGGAAATGCTGCTCTGCTTTACCTTTCTTATGAGCAGCATGCTTCTTTGACATCAATTTGGGTTACATTTGAGATTTTCCAGGTATATTTCTTATATGTTTTATCTTTGCCTGTAGTGTGGAAAATACTAAGCCATTTACCAAAGGATGATTTAGTCAGATGGGTTGGCATTGTTTAAATATATCAGACTATAATGCCAAGTCCTATTATAACAGCAAATTTCTTTGTGCTTAAAAAACAAAAACTAATAATAACAAAGTTGTCTAACCACTATTAAGTGCTATTCATTGTTATAATATTCCAGTTCAGAAAAATGATTCATTCTTCCACATATTTACCTGCTTTTAGGTATTAGCCATGTAGAGTAAAACTGAAGTAACATTCTGTTACAGCTTCAAATTAACATTTCTAGAGATCAAGGGATTCCTATTAGAACCCTTTTAAATGCTGAATTGGGAATCATTATGCCATTTTTTAATATATTTATTGACCTTATATTTAAAAATAAGTTGAGGGCTGGGGATGTGGCTCAAGCAGTAGTGTGCTCGCCTGGCATGCGTGCAGCCCGGGTTTGATCCTCAGCACCACAGACCAACAAAGATGTTGTGTCCGCCAAAAACTAAAAAATAAATTAAAAAAATAAAATAAAATAAAAAAATAAAAATAAGTTGACAGTTTCCAATATTATAAGTTGCAATTGCCCTTATACTGTACATGATTTTTTCTTCCCTGTGGTTTGACATGCAGTCCCTCTCTGTGTTGTAGCAATATCGGAAACTGAGCCAGTCGTATTATCCACTCCTGGAATGTCTCACCCAGGACCACATGAGCTTCATCACCAACTTAGAGCCTCCTGTGCTCCTGTATGTCCTCACTTCTATCTCAGAAGGACTCACTACTCTTGGTAAGGATCATGGAAAACATTGTTCCCCTAGGAAAGCTTGCTCATGGTCTCTTAATCTATGTGCTCATTGAGACTCTCATCCTCCAAAGGAGAAAAAGGTATTGTAAGCTCAAACTGAAAGATTATTTTAGAACTCTTATTTGCAAATAGGAAAATACATTTTGATATATAGTATGTTATTTTATAATTAGCTTATTGAAATATAATTTATATCGCTGATTTTAAGTGAACAGTTTGATCAGTCCTGACAAATGAACCACCACAACCATGGTGTATAATGTTGTGTGTGTTTTCATCACCAATAAAAGCTCTTTTACGTCCCCTCAAATCAGTTCCTTCTCCTTACTCTTCTCAAAGGAGCACTGTCTGCCTTGTCTTTGCCTTTTCCAGAATTTCATGTAAGTGGACTCCTATAATATGAAGTTATTTGTGTCTGGCTTCTTTTATTTAGTGTGATGCCTTTGAGAGGCATTCATATTATTTTGCAAATCAGTTGGGGTTTTTGGTCATTGTTTTGTGTTTTTTTTGTTTTGTTGTATTTGTTTTTTTGTTTGTTTGTTTGATTTGGGTACCAGGGCTCTACCTCTGGATTACATCCCCAGCCCTTTTTATTTTATTTTGAGAAGATGTCTTCTCACTAAGTGGCTGAAGCTGGCCTCAAACTTACTGTCCTCCTACCTCAGCCTCCTGAGTCACCTGAGATTACAAGCATGTGCCACCACACCTGGCTCAGGTCGTTAGTTTCTTTCTATTGCTGAGTATTATTCCATCATGTGGACTACCTCAGTTTGTTTGTCCATTCACTGATAGATATTGGAGTTGTTTATGTTATTTCACAATTTTGAATATTGGCACTGTGAAAATGAATGTACTAGTCCTCATGTGATTGCCTGCCTGCCTACTTACCTACCTCAGACAGACAGACAGATTGACTGATCAGTCAATCATAGATAATTATTTTTCTTGTCTAGGAACTTAGAGTAGAATGTCTGGGTTTCATGCTAAGTATATTTTTAAAATCTGAAGAAACCATTATCCAAGGTGTCTGTAGCGTTTGGTTCTAGTGGTGTAGGAGGGCTCCGTTCACTCCTCACCCTCACCAATACTTACCACTGGTATTTTTAATCTCACCATGTAACATATGGGAAATGGGATCTCACTGTGGTTTTAATCTGCATTCTACTAATGAATAATGATTTAAGCATATTGTCATGCTAATTAATGCCTTTCACTTGTCTTCTTGGTGTTTGTTCAGATCTTTTACTCATATTTTTAACTGGGTTCTTTGTTTTTGTTACTGAGTAATAAGACTTGTATATCCTGAAAACACATCTTCGTCAGATATTAAGTACTGCAGATATTTTTCAGCCTATGACCTGTCTTTGTGTTTTCCTAACAGTATCTTCTGAAGAAGAAAATTTTTAGTTTTGAAGAAGTCCAAGTTATCTTTTGTTGTGGTGGTCGTAGTTCTAAGAAATGTTTGTTTAGCCAAGGCCATAAAGATTTCTCCTGGGTTTTCTTCTAGAAATTGGATGGGTTTACCTCTGATGTTGAAGTTTATGATGTATTTCAGTTTAATTTTCATGTATAATATGAAGTAAAAGCTCAAATTTTCTTTTTAACATGCGGACAGTCGACAGTTGTTCTAGCACCTTTTGTTGATTAAACATCCCTATCTATTTGGCTACCTTATGCCAATAGTATGTTGTTAATTTTATAGGGGGTCTTAAAATACTGTATCATAACCCTTTAGTGTTTTCTCTTTTAAAAATTATTTTAGCTATTCTGAATCCTTTGCCTTTTTATAGAAATTTTAGAATCAACTTCTCAGTTTCTTTTGTTAAAACGAAAAGAGTGTGCTGACTTTAGTTCTTTTTGGATAAATTCTGAGGAGTAGAAGAGCTGGTTCATGTGGTGGCTCTGTTCCTAGCTCTTTGAGGAATCTCCCCACTCTGGAAAATGATTGTGTTAATTTGCAGTCCCACCAACAATGTATGACTATACCTTTTTACCTTATATCCTCAGTAGCATTTTTATTCTTGATAATTGCCATTCTGATGAAATATCAATATAGTTATGATTTGCATTTCCCCAATTGCTTGGTATTTATATTGTTTTGAGAAATGTCTATTTAGTTTTTTTTTTTAACCCATTTCTTGATTAGGTTATTTGGGGTTTTGGTATTAAGCTTTTTGAGTCTTTTATGTATTCTCTGTATTTATCCAAAAGAACTAAAATTAGCATACTATAGTGATACAGCCCACATCAGTATTTATAGCAGCACAACTCAAAATATCCAAGACAAGGAAGCAGCTCAGGTGCCCATCAATAGACTAATGAATAAAGAAAATGTGGTATATGTAGACAGTGGAGTTTTACTCATCCATAAAGAAGAATGAAATTTTGGCATCCTTTTGTTCCTGACTGATGTTGATATAAATGGGTGGAACTGGAGAACATCAGGCCAGAAAATCAAGGGTTGAATTTTTTTCTCATTTGTGGAAGCTAGATATATACATATAAAGTCACCAATTAACAATAAATAAATAAATGGAGGGTAGACCAGTAGAGAAGAGGAAGGGGAATAAAAGGAGGGAGAAAGGAGGAGAAAGGAGGAAACTGGGCACTAAAAAGGAAGTAAATTAAATTCCATGCATGTATGATTATGTGAAAACAAACCCAATTATTATGTACAACTATAATGCAATAATAAAAACAAAAAAATTATTTTAAAGAAATAGGAAAATTTTGATTGAGGTCACATTGAATTTATAGATCAATTTGGAGATAATTGACATATTAACTATTATTCAGTGTTCAATCCCTGAAAATTCTATATGTCCCCTATTCACATAGGTCTTCTTCAACTTTTCTCAAAAATATTTTTGTAGCTTTGAATTTATGAGTCTTATCTGTATTTTTTAATATTTATAACTAAAAAAATATTTATAACTAAATACTGTACGATTTTATGCTATTATCAGTGGCATTTTAATTATCTATTTTTCTTTGCTATAGTATAGAATCAAAATTGGGTTTTTTGTTTCTTTGTTGACTTTATATCTTATAACCTTATTAAACTCACCTATTCTATCAGCTTTTTATAGATTTCTTACATAGATATTTTGGCAAATAAAGAGGTTTTACCTCATTCTTTCTAATCCATCTGCCTTTTTTTTTTTTTCTTGCCTTATCACACTGGCTAGAACCTGCAATACAATATTAAATAGAAGTGTAGAGCAAGCATCTTTTTTTCTTCTCTTCAGTTTTGAAGGCAGTTTTTCAGTTTCAAACCATCCCATATAATGCATAATGCTGGGTTTCTCATAGGTGTCTTTTATCCTTTGGAAGAAAATCTTTCATTCATAGTTTGCTGAGTGTATTATCATGAATGAGTGTTGAATTTTAGCAGGTGCTTTCTTTGTATCAACTGATATGATCATATAGTTTTCCCTTTTTTGTTAATGATCACATTGAATGATATTTAAATCAACAATATTCAGTCCAAATCACAATATTAAGTCAGCTTTGCGTTCCACATGTGACTATGACTGATGTGGATGTGTTCCTCTATAGTTCTCATGGAGCTTTCTGTTCTCATATCCTTACCTTGTTTTAGTCAGTCTAGTGCCCTCATGAGATGAGCTAAGAAATGTTTTCTCCTCTGCTTTCTCATGTTTATATATAATTTTTGTTTATTTTTCCTTAAACATTTGATAGAATTTCCCAGTGAAACCATCAGACTTAAAGTTTTCTTTGGAAGATTTTTAACTACACATTGAATTTCTTTAGTAGATGTATATCTATTTTAGTTGTTAATTACATCTTGAATATTTAGTGTTTGTATCTAAATTTCATCTAACATTATTGACATAAAGTTGTTAATAATGTCCCCTTGATATCCGGTTTTATTTCTATGGGACCTATAACGATGTTCCCTCTTTCATCCCTGATATTGGCAATTTGTATCATTATCTTTTTTCTTTTCCTCCTCCTTCTCTTATCTCTTCCCCTTTTCCTCCTCTCATCTTCTCCTTCCCTCTTCTTCCTCTCCTCTTCCTGTTTTTCTTCCTTGATCATTCCAGCTATAGTTTATCGGTTTTATTGCAAAGCATTATTTTTAGTTTCCAGTGATTTTTTTTCTGTTATTTCTATTTCACTGATTTCAAATATGACCTTCATTTTTTTCTTCAGTTGATTTTTGCCTTCTTCCCCCACCCCCGAGATAGAAGCTTAAATCATTGGTTTTAGACCTTTCTTCCTTTTTAACATATATTTTTTAATATTTATTTTTTAGTTGTATTTGGACACAGTACCTTTATTTTATTTGTTTATTTTCATGTGATGCTGAGAACATGCTAGGCGAGCGCTCTACTGCTGAGCCACAACCCCAGCCCCTTAATGTACATTTTTAATGCTTTAATCTGAGCACTACTCTAGCTATATCTCAAAATTTTAAGTGTTATTAAAGCTGTGGGTTGTTCCTTAGAAGCAGACTGATTTTCTGGAATTTGAAGATGATCCTGAATCTTTTCTGTGACTGATTCTAGTTTTATTCCATTGTGTCATAGAATACACTCAATGAGTTTTATACTTTTTAAAGTTTATTGAGACCTCTTTATGACCCTCACTGTGATGAATGCTTCCCGGTACTTAGCTGAATGTGTGCGCCACTGCTGGGGAGTACTCTGTGCTGGCTCTAGCAGTACTCTGTTGCTCCTGATTGGTTGGTCGGTGCTGTTTTTTTCTATGCATGAACTAAAAAGAAATCCTGAAGTCTCTGAAGACAGTTATAGATTTGTCCTGTCTCCTTTCAGTTCTGTCAGTTTTTGTATCAAATGTTTCTGTTTAAATAGCTCTGTTATTAGGTGCATAATATTTAAAATTATTAAATTCCTTTGATGAACTTTTGTCATTACAAAATTATCCTCTTTATCTCTGGTAATATTCTTTCCTCTGAAATTTTTGTCTGATAACTTCTCCAGGTTTTTTTTAGTAGT